TATTAAATACCTGAGCTAGTATTTCTAATTCTTTAAATATTTTATCTATTATATAAGCTATAGCTACTAGTTTTATAAATCTTCTAATATATCTAATTATATTTAATATAATAGTATTTCTTATTTATAAGATAGTAAAATAAGAAGTATTATTCTTAATCTATTAGTTCCAAAATATAGTAGCTAGATCTAGTATTTTTAAGATATTAATAAATATTTTTATTTTTTTCTAAGTTTTTAGAAATAAAATAATTACTTTCTTTAATAGTTTTATTAGTATATTATTAACTTTAGGAGTTTTATATTTATTATAATTAAGAATATATTAGATTCTTAATTCGTTCTATTTATTTCTGGAAATATTAATATCTATATTTTTAACTAGGCTATTTCCTTATTTATTATTTTTTAGAATAGTATTTTTCTGGCCTCTTATATAAAGTAGCTTTTTTCTTATCCTGGCTTATTTTTAGAAAACCTCTTTAGCTATTTCTATTTTTTTCCCTTTTTCTTTAATAAGAAACCCGTTATAGTATTAATAGAAATACTATTTATAGTCAAATCTTAATACTATTTATAGTCAAATCTTAATATTATTTTTTAATTCCAGAACCTGAAATATTAGTAATTCTAATATAATTTCCTTTAAGATAAAGTAGCTATTTAGATTCCCTAGATATAACTTACTTATTTCTATATATAGATCCCGGTTAGCTAGTTCTCTTTTCTTTTTCTTATTTAGTAAACTAGATATCTCCTATTAATTTCTGGATATTTTTAAATCAAGTATTTAAATTATAATTAAATTCTTTTCTTTAGACTTAAGAAATAATTTAGTTAAACTATTAGTATTTACTAGTAAAGAAAAAGAAAAAACTTTTTTATTTAGGCTTAAATAGCCCTTTATATTATCTTTTATTAAATTAGTAAATGTATCTATAATTTATAAGTTTTTTTATTAGTAAATAATAGAACTAAAAAATATAGATATATTCTGGATTAATATTATTATTCTTATTCCTATTATAATATTTATAGCAAATTCGTTTTCTCGGTTCTAGATCTATATTATAGGCTATATTAACTTAAATAATATTTTCTAATTATATTTGAGACTAATTTCTTTTAAAATATAATTATTTAGATTCTTTATCTATTTTAGTTTAACTATTATAGCTACTATAATATTCTCTATAATTTCTATTATAACTTCTAATATATTCTTTCTAAAAACCTGAATTATATTTATTAGGCTATTAATATTATTATATTTATTATAATTAACTAGATTATATAAATAGGCTATAGATATCTTTCCGAATTATAATAATAATTATATTAAGTCATTTCTATAAATTCTCTTAAGTTATAGTAATAATAAATAGTTTTTCTAGATTTTTTATTAGCTAGTTAATATTATTTTCTTTAGGTTTACTACTTTTAATAGGTTTTATATAATTAGCTATAGGCTAGGTTCTTTTTTTACTTATGTCTATAATAGTATTAGGAAATATAATAAAAAGAACTAATAAAAAACAATTATTTTCTAGTTTAAAAACTATATTATAAACTATTATATTTAAGTATTCTTATTTAAATCTGGATATATCTAGATTATTAATAATATTAAAATAGTATTTCTTTTCTTTATACTAATAAAATATTATTATTTTCTTATATATTTTACTATATTTATAAATAGAAATATTTATAGGCTTAAAGTTTATATTTTTAAAAATATAATCTCTTATTAAAATAAATAATTTTATTTATTTCTTTTCTTTTTAATAACTCTTTTAATACTTTATTAAATATATTAATATAAGACTTAGAAAAAATCTCTTTATTCTAGGCTTATATAATAATCTAATTAAGAAAGTTATAGCTAATTTTAAGTATTTCCCAGTTATATTCTCGGGATTCTTTTAGTAAGGCCTTAAAAAACTTAGTTTCCTAGTAATTTCCTAAATTATTAGTATAGTATTCTAGTATAGCCTTAATTTAATTCTTATAAATAAGAGAGATATAATAAATAATTCTCTCTTTTTTAATATTATTAGAAATATAATAGTTCTTATATATATTTATATATTATTTCAAGAATATAAAGATATTACTTTTCTAAAACTATAGTATTCTAAAAGCTTTTATAAATAGTAGATTTAAATCTAATACTAGTATATATTTATTCTTAGCTATATTAATCTTAATAATTTCTTTTATAATTAATTATAAGGTTTCTATATCTGAGATTTCTATTAATAAGATTCCTAAAAAAACTAATTTCTTATTTAAATATATCTTTTAATTTAGAAACCGAAATTTAGGAAAAACCGGTTAATAATAATAGATATAGTCTAGGTTCAAGTTTTAATATTAGTAATAATAAGATAATAGCTTTTCTAGTTTTATTTTTATTATTTATATATTTTTTTCTATTTTATTAGCTTAATACCTATAGTATTTTCTCTTAATTTTACTAAACTAGATATATTTAATAATATTATTAAAGGTAATAATAAAAATAATAAATATAATTTTATTAATTTCTCTAATATTTCTAAATTCTCTTCTTTTTCTTTACTTAGTATTCTTTTCTTTCTTTAAAAGCTTCTTTAGATTATTTATATAATTTCTTATTTCTAATTTCTTTTTAATTCTTATTTCCGATTTCTATTTACTATTTTACTTAAAATTAAGAATTTTTTTTTTTTATATATTTTTTCCGGATTTATAAATAAGCTTTTTTACTAAAACTAAAACTATTTTTATTCCGGGTTTTATTATAACTAAAAATAATATATAAATTAATAATATAATTTTTTATTTCTAAATACTAAAGTCTATTTCTAACTAAGATCTAACTTATATTATCTTAATATAATATTTCTTATTCTATTTCCTTTATTTTTTTTTCTTTTATAATTAGTCTCTATTTTTACTATTTCTATATATTATACTAGTAATTATATCTTATAGCTAACCCGTATTTAAGTTACTAGATATATTAGAAATTAATATAAGATACTAAAATTAATACTTATATATTCTTAATATTTTGGCTTTAGGCTTAAGGTATTATAATAATTCTTTTCTCTTCTAATTTACTAAGCTAATAATTCGCCTTATAGATATTTCTTAGAACTTTATAAAAGTAATACCTTAACTATAAAGTTTCGATTCTCTTTATATTACTTATTATAAAATATATAAGAGGGAAATTATAATAAGACAAAAACTCATATAAAGTATACTAGAATATAAAATATAATTTAATAATAAAATAATAAATTAAAAGTATAAATATTAAAATATAAATAGTATATAATATATAAAAGCTTAATTAATTAAATACTTAAAAGAGATTATTTTCTAGAACTATAGAAAAACCAGCTTTCTTATATAATTTCTGCAAGTTATATATAAAAGACTATAGCCTTTATTATATAACTAAAATAATATAATTTTTAAAGAGTACGGCCTGCTATATTATATTATATAGGCTATTTTTAGTATAAACTAATAGTTAAGCCTGGCTTAAATATCTTTAGTAAAAGAAAAATATTAGCCTAATATTTAAAGCGAGAATATTAGATACTTAATAATTAGAAAGATATGATTTTTATAAATAAAACTACTATTTAATTAAGAGATATAAGAGAAAAGAGACATATATAAAGATTAACTAGAGAAGTATATAATAAGTATTATATATATGAAAAATAGAAAGAATTTTCTAAATTTATATTTTAGGAGTCTTTTTCTTATAATAAAAAGGGGCCTTATTATATATAGGAAAAAAAGACTTTATAAAAGAAAAGAAATCGTAAAGTTAATCTTAATATAAGGAACTTATTAATTAAAAAGGCTAATAAATAGAAATAAGAAAAGAAATAAAGAAAATAGCTAAGGAAATAGAAGAAGGCTTATAAAAGGGCTCCTAGAAAATATAAAAGATATAGAAGTATAACGAGAAAACTAGTACTTATATTATAAAGAATAGATAAGAAGGAATTAATTAGTATTAATACTAGAAGAAGACCTTAATTAAGAAGCTCTTATCGTTTATAAGGAAATACTAAAAGAATTGCCCTAATACTCTTATATAAAAGAATAATATAGGACCTTATAAGTTATATTACTAGGGAGAGATTTATAATCTATAGAAAATTATAAAGATACTTTGGCCAGGAAACTCACCTAATCTTAATATAATTAAGAAAGCCTGGTTCTGGATAAAAAAGGAAACTACTAAGCGGGGACCTACTAGTAATAGGAAGAAGCTGAGAGTGAAATAGGAGAAATACTAGAAAGATCTTCTCTAGAGTAAGATTCAAGAGTAGATTATAGTAATTCCTAATTATATAAAGGAGATAATACGTTTGGAAGAGGAAAATAAGTATAAAAAGAGAGGAAGAAGGGTTAAGAGAAGGTGGCTATATATTAGATAGTTATTTAGATAGATAAAATCGAACTAATTAAAAAATAATCGAAATTAGAGATTTGGCAAGGTAAACCACATTTCAGGGGACCCTTATAGGGCTTACAGGGGACTAGGACTAGCTATAGGGAGATTAAAGTAAGACCTTACAGGGCATTTAATAGCCTTTATAAAATAATGCCCTGTATTCCCGAACTTTATACCATTGTCTTCGTATTGAATTTCGTCCACCTACTCTATTTGCGACATTTTTATGATTTTTAAAGACTAGTAAAACCATAATGCGATAGTATCGTGCCTACGATATCCGATTATATTTCTTTAATTTTATATTTTTAAATAAAATAAAACTATTTACTTTTCTTTTTACCTAGTCCAGAATGAAATAGAAAGTGCTCGGCTGCGACCGAAATGGGTTCTGGCATAAACTTCTCTAATTAGGTCTCAAATACTGAGAGATGTGGAAGAATCCGTACGCTTGTAATATTCAAGTCACACCAAAAGTCTAGTTTTATTACAAAGTCAAGTCACTGTATTTTAAGTTTGGCATGTAAATGAACTCGGGAAAAAAAACCTTTTGATTGAGTGAGTGATGGTTGTTCGAATTCGTAACTACTAATGTTCTGCATTGCTGAAAAGGCAAGATATTGGGGAGACCTCTGCTTGAGCTAGACGCTACCCATGTGTAACAAAATACTCGCAACTATCTGATAAATGAATGTTTTGTTTGGTCGAAGATTTTGGCATACCCCCAAGAATTATCGCAACACAATTTCTTGCCGCTCTCCTCCAAAAAGAAAGTTGACGAAACACATCTACTAGCCTTTTCTATCTAGAGCTTCAGCTGCGACCGGATGGTCTCGAGCGTTTGGGTACCACTCGGCACCAAATGCTTTCAGGTTTTCGATATGAATATTTACCTAACATCATTAGCTCCGAAATTATTCTCCTCGCGCCGTTAGAACAAATTCCTTACATCTGTAGTAATTGGTAATTCATTGTACCGATCCTGCAGACGAGTTAGCTAACTAGAGTTCAATATCAGGAGCTGGAATACGGCAGGACATCAGACCGTCCATAGTCCGAGGTTTGTTTAAAAAAAATAAAAAAATGAAGACAACGTTCCAAAGTTTGAGGGAAATAGGGATTGAGTGGAGTTATAGTCACTTACCCAATCAGCATCTTCCTGCATTTGAAGAGCCCACACTCCCTCGCCCTCCCACCCAAAAATAACAGGTATAGCTGTGCTCGTACAAGTATAATTCGCGGCCATAGCCCGCAAGTCATCATCGGAAATTGATCGGCGGGAGTCCTCTGCACGAGATTTGTGAGTTTGGAAGACCTATGTGATATGCCAGTGGTTATATTCAACTTACCTGCGGCGCTCCCACATCTTAAAGTGCAATCAAACCAAGCGGCCCCTCCGCCAAAATAGCTTGAGAGTGTGCCTCCATTTAAGCAGACACCCGTAGCGTAGCCGGCGGCGGCATTTCTAGCGATGCCACCACAGGAAGATGTTGAAGAACTCTGGTAGAATATGCCTATAGTAGCTGTATATAGGATGTCGAAAGCCACCCCTTGGGCTTGATAGCCACCACGGGGGAAAACGCAACAAACATTCTAAAGCCATAAGTGAACTACTTCATAGGCAAGGGGATTATCAAGAAGACGATCTCATCTCTCCCCTTTCACGGACTTACATTTGAAATACCAGGGCATACGTTCACGACAGTTGAGGTCGGGTAACAGGGGATAGAAACGTATCCTGTAATAGTGATAGCATTAACAGAATATAGCACAGCGAGAAGAAGTGATGCTAACGATAAGATCATGTTGAATTTTGGAAAGTGGAATTGTTCAAGTGGTTGGATTGTAATGTTAGAATCTGGAATGATGGCTTGCTTTAATATTATATGCCATTGGTGATATTTTGATAACATTAAACCAAGGCTGCACTGTATACTAATCATATTTCCAGCATAATGAAAGAGCAAATCATACGTCTGCCCCCGGAAAGCAATCCAATAAGTAAATTCAATATAGTCGCGCATTGTGTAGGGCCGATAAATATGCAGATTTTTGCTTAAAACTACAATTCTATTTGATACCAAATCTCTCAACACCAACATCAATATCAATATCAACATGGTTATTCACGGCCTATTGGCCATCAAGAAGCACAGCCCACTGATGCAACTAAGATCTATATTAATATTAATATCAATATCAACATGGTTATTTACTGCTTATTGACGATCAAGAGGCACAGCTCCACTAATAGAGCGAATACTCACATCCAAATCAATTTTGACATGGTTATCAATTCATACAAGAGGCACAGCTTTATTAATAGGGCGAACAATTACCGTATATCGGCATCAACATGGTTATTAACTGCTTATTAGTGATCAAGAGGCGCAGCTCTAAGCTCTGCTGATCGAGCGACCTACGACGTCTCTTCAACAAGTTGCTGACAAATATGTGAAATCAAAGAAGGCAGGTATTGGGTGGTAAACCCGGATTTGTTACGTATTAAAATACTTCTAAGGCGGACAAATAGTAAGTAATCTCAGAACTCTTGGCTGGGACTTTTCTTAAGAAGGTAGAGTTTATGGCTAACTTTGCATAAATGAAGTCTGAAATTGAATTTCATGGGATTTCAGTAAAATAGATCAGTACTTTTTCTTCGCGTATTTATAGTATCACGGCCTAGCGCTGCTAATCAGCTGCTCGTGTGGCAATAAAGCTTTCCCCCGCTTCCGTGCCGCAGCCTGACGTTTGAAGTTTGGTTAGAATGCGAGAAATCATGCCTGCTTAATGCGGTTTGATAACTACAACTCGTGCTGCCAGAAAGCCCGTATCCATACAGGGGTGAAACTTATTCTCCGACCAGCCAATCAATCCAACCCTTCCTTTTGCTAATAAAGGATGCGGACTCTTTGGCAGCAAGAGTAGTGGCCAAGCTGGTAGATTTTGAGTCGGCCCTGTTTTCAAACTCACCTATAGATAATGCGACGCCCGCACAGCTTATGGTTGTACTGCTTATGGTTGCATAGCGTCACAGCTTACGCGGTGTATAGCTTATGGATACACAGCTTGCGCGATGTAACGCTCTGTGGGTGGTTCCAACTTTCAAACTCACCGATCGCGCAAGCTGTGCAACCATAAGCAGTACAACCATAAGCTGAACTTCATAGGATTTCAGTGAAATAGATCAGCAGCTTTTCTTCGCGCATTTATAATATCCCGGCCTAGCACTGCTAGTCAGCTGCTCATGTGGCAATGAAGCTTTTCCCCGCTTCCGTGCCGCAGCTTGACGTTTGAAGTTTGGTTAGAATGCGAGGGATAACTTTCAAACTCACCCATTAAGAGGGCAGAACTCGTAATAGCTTATGGGGCGGCTCTATTTGTAAACTCACTTATGGAGAGTCCTGCAGCAATCTACTACGGCCATGTAATAGGCTCACACTTGTCAGCACCTGTGAACAATTTGAGTTACCTATACCCTTAAAATTCCCCTTGAGGTCAACATAACCTTTCACAGTACCTAGTATATCCCGCAGTCTTCAAAGCCTACAAATCATGAGATACGTCGCTCTTTGCAGCATCACCATTGCCCTAGCGTCCGTCGCCCTGGCTCAAGGCCCGCAGCCATGCTACAATCAAGCTGATCCGGACGGGTACGTTATTTATCATCCATAAGAGCTGTGTAACTCTTCTGATAACCAATAGTGGCCTGCCTAACTACTGCTATTGCTCAGATGGCAGCTGCTGGGCCATATCAAGCAACGACTGCATGCCGACGTCAAATGAACAACTTGACCCATGCCCAGTGGGAGATCCTGAATCTGGCTAGGAGGGACTGATGAAAGGAAGCTGAGACATGTGTATGTCATAGGATGCTTTCAAGTGATTCAGAGTGGTGGAAGGGGAGAACGGCTGAAAGGCCTCTGGGAGCAAAGATTGAATCTCATATATCTAGGAATTTAAGCAAGGAGCTCAATTGACTCTTTTTACTTTGTGTACAGAATGAGGTTCTCTTGGAACCAACTTGAATTTCAATAATTCCACTCGTAACGGTGATCTGAATGTGTTATTACAATATATCACCAAGCGAAAACAAATCACGGCAAAGTTCCTTATTTATGCCGATCGCCTGCCTACTGTAATCGGCGCTACTGTAGGTGTGTGGCGGCTATATTTGCCTACAAATAAACACACCATTCCCTCACCGATCATGCTTCTTCAATCTTACCTTCCTGGATTAAAAAAAGCTACCTGTTTTTCTTGTTATATTGAACATTACAAACTTATCACTGCAAAGCCCACACAAAACAACTCATCACCTCCACACTCCATTTCCCTCTCCTGTCAAAAATGGACCACAACACCCCTACCAACAATATTAAAACCTGCGACCTCTCTCAGAAAACAAAAGCCGAGCTCTTAGATATCGTTTCTAAACTTCCCCCGCCAATAGAGTCCTACTCCGCGAAGAATACACTTTTCGGGTGGGCGGATGACGGAAAAGGGGTCTGGGTTCTGCCTGCTTCCAAAGAGAATTTTGAGCGGTTTGAGGAGATTGCTAAATTGAAGCCAAACATGGGACATGATAGTAATGGGGTGCATTGTGAGATTATGAAGGAGGCTGGAGCGGAGTTTTTTAAGGATTGGAGGGACAGTGATAGGGCGAGAGGGGTGAAGGAGATGAGAGAGGGGAGTGGGTGATGGAGCTGGAGCGTCAACAATCTATTTCTATGGCTTCAGCACCACGACTTTATTGATGTCGATCTTTGGGGAAAAGTCCAGCTGCTTCTACTTCTAGGCAGATTTCATGCGTCTGAGGAAAACACATATCGCAAAGTCCATGAAGCTCTGGCAGCTGATCATTATAATCAAACGTGCAGTCATTAGTCTTCTCGATGTCTCTTCTTTCTTGCCTAGAACCTATTGTCAACATGAATTCGGAGTAAGGATCAATGACTGCATGATGGCAATGAATACTGCTTCTTTCCTCTAATGAGACATGGCAGGAAGAGAATGGCAGAACCTCGATATCTCGATGTCAAGCTAAATAGGCTGAATGAGGATTTTGATCCTTTATCAGTTCAACATTAATGTTTTCAAAAAAATACTTCGTTCTAAATCCAAGGTTCCCCGAACTCCAGGCCTCCACTAACAACCAACAGTTCATGTTTCCTAGCCCCTGCTAATATTGTAGATTGGTTTGTGATGTCCAAACTGCATATCCAGAGATCAGTACCGAGAAAGTATAATACTGGACCCGCCATCGCAATAATTTGACGTACGCGGTGGACTTGGCCACCGAAATCTCCTATTCTTCGGACTCAAGTTCTAGGAGTTCAAGCTCTGGGCGCTCACCATAGGTTTTGGTGTTGATTGGTATATTACATGACTTTGGTATTGTTGGTGTTGTCAGGACGACAGCCACTAGCCTGAGCCCACTGTATCTAGAACACTGCTTCCTCTGGCTCTTTTAGCCCTTTAGACTGAATATCAATACTCTGCATACACCCATTTGTCAGTTATGAGCCCGGCCTTATAGCTATTGCATTGTAAAATGCGATTCCTGCTACGCAACCCCCGAGAAAGACACCTAAAACGCGCACCAGACGCCTGGGCATGTGCGCTGAGCCTGCAGGAACAGCTGCAGAGTCCTCACGCACAACCACGATTTTGTAACGAGCTAAACCATAATTCTGGATGGCGATAGCTTGGATTCATGACCCTAGCTATCTAAAAACCAGTTACAAGGTTGTGAAAGCTCAAAAGTCGGTGAGTGTTGAGGGTAGGCGCAAAATGCAGAGTTTTCAGTCTCCGTCAGAGAAACTTCTTTAGTAACGCCAACTGCTTTAGAAGGACGTTAAAACCCGACCTCATTGTACACGATAGGACCCTATTGAGTCAAAGAACCCATCGAATCAACCGTTAGAACCGTCAAAACAACCAGATCTTCGAGCACCTTTAGACGTCGATAAACCTCGCGAATCTGCTTCGACAAACCTCACGAAAATCCTACCTCTCGGCGAACCTTCCTCTCTACGAATCCTTTTACGAACGTACGAATAGACAAGATGAGCACTGTGGTATCGAAGGAGAAGCTAGTGATAACGGAGCATGGGCAGTACAAGGTGTGCATACGAGCAAAGAGGCTACTGGCAGAACAGAACAACCTGTGGGATACCTGTAATCCAGACCTCCCTGTAGAGAAGCTTAGGGCCATCGTAAAACCTGAGTTCCCTGGCCCTCATGCGCTCAAGAGAAGCATTGTCTACGTGGAAGTGCCTGTAGCAGAAGGTGCGCCCCTTTGCAAAGCCCAGGCTCTCGTATTCCGAGAACTGCTCTGCTCTCTGATCTCACCAAGGACGAGACTGATGACCTAACCAGGGCTCGTACCATGTTCCCCTTGGTGTACAAGACCTGGGAGGCAGAGGCAAAAGCCTATACGGTTCTCTTCGGGGACATCTATAATTCAGTCGATCCAAGCTTTCATCCACTACTCGACGACTGTACAACTGTCCACGAGCTTCTACAAGCCTGCCAGAAGGAATACAAGCCATCAGAGGTAGCCGTGGAAGACAACTTGCTTAAGCGTTGGGAGTAGCTTTCAAGGGCACCTAACATCGACGGCATACCGGCTTGGATCTCAAAATGGAGGCATATCTACGTTGAAGCAGGGAAAGAAGGCATCGTGGAGCTCAAAAATCGAAAGGCAATATCTGCTCTCCTGGCTGCGGTAGAAATACACGTCTCAGTTGCTTGGGCGGAAACAGAGAGAGTCTTAGTGGGCAGAAGTAAAGGAAAGGCCACGTTCGAACGACGTCTGTGAGTCGTTCCTGGAATACTGGAGGGAAAATGAGACTGTAATGAGGGCAGGAAAGAGGACAGGAAATAGAAGGACAAGGCACGGCATTTTTGC